TGGGGCACATGCAAAATCTGGGAAAGATCTACCAGATTGGCAAAACCGAAAAAGGCTGACAGCGGTAAGTGTTGATGCCTATTTGGAGCAACAGGAACGCCCATACACTCCTGGGGGGAGTTGGTCACAACGGCCGTTGGAAAACAAATCAGCGGTCATGAGATGTTCACACAGTAGGCCCTAGGAATTCTACCCCTGGGTCCATGTACACCCGATGTTAAGTCTTTTATACACATATCAGGAGACGACAGGTTTGAGCGTGTGCAGCAGCTGGTGAGGGGAATTCATTCTACCCCAGCCATACAGGCTAAGAATTGATGACAGAGAAGCTCTGTGAAGGAAAATAGGGTCCCTCTACCAGAAAAAAAATGGGTGCTGGGCAGACAAAACCATACATGTTACCTACACCATTATTACCATAAGAGGTAACACTTAGGTGAAATGCATGTAGTCCTCACACAAATCCAATGAGAGAAGTACTGTTATTTCCCCCCATTCTATGGATGGGGAAATTGAGGTACAGAGAGGTTAATCACCACCTCACAGGGTTCTAGGGGGGATTAAACAGCACAGCGGAAATAAGGCACGGTGCCTGGCACACAGTAAATGCTCAAAAAATACTGCTGGTTTCTGATACCATCGTGAGGCCAGCACTAAAACTTCGTCTCTGGTCTGTGCTCCCAGTCTCCTGGAGATTCCCAGGTGTGTCTCCTGCCCAGAAGTGTGAAGAAACAGAAACTTTCCAAACCTGGTCTCTTGGGAGCTATTTCTCGACGAAGCTTGGGTGGTCACAGGGGTCAACTGATGCCTCAAGTCAAACTCAGGGGGCTGAAGAGAGAGGCAGGATGGGCCCCCTGCCTAGGCTCGTGGACTTCCAGCCAGACCCACCTGCCTGCCCCCATCTGGAAGGGCAGGCACCACGGCCCCTCCCTGGGGGCCCGGGGGCCACGGGGCAGGCTCACCTCCTGTGTTCCCTTCCCACAGGGCAGCTCTGTCCTGCCAGTTATTTTCTCCGCCGCTCAACACCAAAAGTTCATTCTGGTGCTAAAAATAGGCTGTGTTTAGACACTCTGAGGCTCTAGCTGGAAACACGAACCCCCGTAACCAGATGCTGCCATTCCTGCGGGGAGGGGGAAGGGGGGCTCTCACCCTCACCGTGGTGGCAACTCTCGCTAGTCCTGGGAGGGAGCCAGGGCAGGGAGCGCGTCATCTGCCACACCCAGGAGACAGGGAAGCCGAGGCTCAGAGGGTTGTCGTGCAAAACGGAGAGGGATGGAGCCTGATCGCTCATAGCGAGCACTGACTCCAGCCCTCTGGACCCCCCAAGGCTCAGGCAAGAAGACTCTGTGGTCCACCCACGGGAGAACAATGGAACTCACAGAGGTGCGCGCACCTGCCCGGCTCACACCTGTAAGTGACAGGACAGAATGTGGACGGGATTGTGGTCTCCAACATGTAACAGGAAAGTGGAGACAGGGAGGTGGGGGCCAACACGTGCCCCCTTCCCGGGGGGCATTGTCGATGCACCGTCTGTGGGCTGGGGAGAGCCGTCACACCTGCCTCACAGGTTGCCGGCAGGGAGGAGTTGGTGAGAACGTGCTTGTAAAGTCTTTGAGCGCAGCGTCCGGCATAGAGTAGGTGTTCAGTAATGGCACTTCATTTCCACATTCCCTTTGGGGTTAGAATTTCTGTCTAGAGAGAGAAAGAGACAGAGAGAGGCTTGGGGATGTGGAGAGGATGACAGAGGGTCGTGAGAAGCAGAGAGGTCTTTGGGGTTCCCTTGGGGAGGTGGCACTGTGGCTCAGTGGGGGCCCCCTGAACTCCAGGATCAGCCAGAGCTGTGAAACAAAAGATACTGCCTACACAGAGCCCTGAGTGTTGGTGTTCCGGTGACAGGGTTTAGGCTTAAACCCCCAGGGGAGGTCCGTCCCCTGATTCTTCTTACTCACTTCCTGCACCTCTTGGGGACCTACTGTGTGCCAGATGCTGGGGCTAATGTGGAGAGAGAGTAAACCGGATGCCCCCAACCCCCTTGCTACTCAGGTTCCAGGGTGTTCTCCTTCCGGGACCCTCCCTCCCAGCACTGGCAGGTGGCATGGGTGGCTCAGGTCAGCACCGCCCCCCTGCCCCCTGGAGGGGCCCCCCTCCCCACAGTCCCTTCCCGGATGGGTCCGCTTCACTCCCCACACCACCAGTGCCTCCGTCTCTTTCTGTTCCCTGCCGGCTTCTAATGAGCTCATTATCCTCTTAAAACCCATTTGGCACCCACTTAGAGAAAAGATGTGTTGAAATAGAAAAGAACGAGAAGGGAACAACAGAAAAGGACTAGACCCAGAAATATCCTCAGAGAGACAAAAAGCCACAGGGAACACAACAGCCAGAACCTTTGCCGTCTCCACGGCAGCAACTGAGCTGCTGCGGCAAATGTCTTTGAAGGCTGCTCACATGTGCCCTTGAGAGGACTGGGGTGGGGGGTGCTTTTCTTGAGCACCTACTGTGTGCCAGGCACTCTTCCTACATTTTGGGGAAGGTGTCACGATTCTTATGCCCACTTTACAGGCGAGGATCTTCGTGAGAACAGGTGTCTTGACCCAGTCACACAAGCTGGTGGGTAGAAGCGGTGGCATCTGAACCCAGGTCAATCCACCTCCAGAGCTCATGCTCTTGTCTGCTTCTGGAAGGGCTGGTGTCCTTCTGCTCATCCCCATGATGGCTGGTGGCTTTGTCTCATCCTGACCCAGCTGCAGAAACATCTGGCATGTGTGTGATCTACACGGAATACCATGGGTCACCACCCACTGCCTGGAGGTTTAACATGTCAGTGTGACCTTGAAACTTCAGCGGTTCTGCATGTACGCAGTTAGAACATAGCCCAGACTCCTGGGCTTGGATTCGAGTCTCCCCCGAGCTGTGTGGCTCTGGACAAACTACTTAATCTCTTTGAGCCTCATTTCTCTCCTCCCTTAAATGGCTACGGATCTCTCTCATAGAATTGTTATAAGCATTCAGTCAGAGTATGTACGTGTTCAGAGCAGTGTTGGCACATAATAAATGTTCAGTGAACATTAGCTACTAATTGCTATTCTATATCTTCTACATACATCTACTATAGGATTTATCACGATCTAGTGTAGTGATTTAGTACAGTGGTTGTTTAGTACATTGCTGTCTCCCTCAGCAGACTCTGAATTCTCTGAAAGTGAGACTCTGGATTATTTATTTTGGCATCCCAAGCACACACGATAGGCAGGCAATGCATATTTTTGAATGAATGGAAGAATGGGTAGATGGATGGGTGGGTGAGAGCTGCATGGTTGCGTGGGCTGCAGCAGTCCGGGTGGATGGACAGGTGAATGGGTGGATTGATGAAAGAGTAATGGTGGATGGATGGATAGGTGGATTGATGGATGGGTTATGGAATGGACAGTGGATGGATGGATGGTTAGATTGTGACTTGATGGATGGGCACGTGGACTGACGGATGGATTAAAGCGGTGGACAGATAGGCAGAGCGATGGAGGAAGAGGTATAGTTTGGCCCCACAAAAATTTGGAGCTGGTTTTTTCCACTTATCTGTTCCAAGTGTCTAGTACAGTAACTGGTGCTTAGTAGGTGCATAGCACTTAGTCCCTGAATGAATGGGATGGTGTATGGGCTACTGATGGCTTCTCCCCTGAACCACAGTTAAACTCCTGGGCCATGTCTGGATTCAGAGGGTCTGTTACCATTCGGATCAACCATGGGCTGCCATTTAGTCATGTACATTGGCCAAGCCTGTCACGACGCCCCCTGCTGGTGATAACATGGAATCACACCACCAAAAGGGGTATTCTGTTCTCTGATTTGTATTCTGTTTTCCTCCTGGCTAATGATCCTTAACGTTTACCCATAAAGCAGTGCCCTCAGCCCTCTGTGCCCATCACCATTACCCAAGGACACCCTGTTACGCCTATAGGCTTCCTCTTCTACCAGAAATTCTGGCTGGAGAGGTCCAGAATCTTCATAGTGAACCAGGTTCTCAGGTGATCATGAATCAGATGCTCCTTGTCAGAGAGTGAGTAGTGGCACTGTGAGGCCATGGACATGGGCTGCTGCTTCAGGGCCCATTCCCTGAATCCCCAAGTGATATCTAGTCCATGTAGGACAAAAGCGGAGTCAGAAAGGTCGTGGTTAAGGGCTGTGGTTTTGCATTTGGACTGTCCTGGGTTCAGTTCCCAACTCCACCACTCACTGGCTGTGTGGCCTCAGTTTCCTCATCTGTGAAGTGGGAACATTGTTACTCCCCTAGGAACAATGGGAAGACTAGGTGAGATCATGCATGTAGAGGGCTTGGCACAAAGCTGGGCAGATTATAGATGCTCAGTAAAGGCCGAGTGATGGCTGTGTTGATAAATCACCCTGATTTCTTTTCTTTTTCTTCCTTGGATAGAGGAGAGGGGCTATGGCTTTGATCTCTCCCACTGGAATGTGAGCCCTGTGAAGGAAGGGACTTTGTATCTCTGATTCACCGCTTTCTCCCCAGCGCTTAGGACAGTACCTGCTACATGGCTGGATGCTCACTAAGTATTTGCTGGCACAACAGCAAAAAAGAATGAATTTGTTCTGGTTCAGAACCAGCCAGGTCCAGCAGGCAATTCAGCAGGGACCTAGGAAGTACTTTTCAGACTTGAAATAGTTCACATATCAGCGTACGTTTGACAAATAAATAGGATGTGTGGGACATTAGGAACTTGTGCTTGTCTGAGATAAAGTCTGTCCGAAAATGAGGGCCCAGGAGGAGACAAGGTCCCAGATTACCAGTTTGGCTTAAAGAAAAAGGCAGGTGTTCTAGAAGACCCAGGACGGGGCTTCCTTCCAAGCACAGCGGGGTGCATCGGGCCTTCGGCCCCTCCCTTCCCCTTCCCTGGGGCTCTGCATTCCCAGTGAGAAGGTTCAAGAACACTTTGTGCTCTGGCCTCCATGAGGAGACTTCTTAAGCCTGTGTCCATGCTGTTTTGCAGGTAGCAGCCCTGAGCCCTAATGCTTGAGCAGATGGAAGCCCGGCGGCCTCTGTTTCCACCAGGTGGACACACCGAGCGTGGCCCCCAGCTGGGAAAGGGGCCGGAAAATGGCCCTCAGTGAAATAATCTAGCTCCAACAGGCTGGAGGAGCCAAGAAAAGACGTGAGCTGCAGTGCTGGTGACTGACAGAATCCTCCTGTGACTGTTATTATCAAAGTTCTCTGGGAGCCTTCTGACGTGAGGAACAAGATGTAGGAAAATGGGACTGACTCCTAGGTGTGGGGTCCCTCTTGTGGCTCAAAGAAGCTCACCTTGACCTCAGGAGGGCTCCGTTCTCTTGGCATCAGCCAAGCATCAGCTTCACGGAAAGAGTAAGACTCAGACCTCCGTGGGTTCCATCCCTAAGGGAGGCCCCCTCCATCCCCTTCCTGAAACCCCCCACCAGCGACGCCCCAGCGAGCCAGTCCGGAATGATCCTGCTATGGCCAAGCTCTGGTTCAAATTCCAGCGGTACTTCCGCAGGAAGCCTGTGCGTTTCTTTACCTTCCTGGTGCTCTACCTGATGGCTGGGAGCCTGGTCTTCCTTCACTCTGGCTTTGTGGGCCAGCCTGCCATCTCCCAGAGCCAGGCCAGCCCCGCTGTGGGGGTCCAGGCCGAGGGCGCTGAGCTGCCCTTCTTGGGTGACCTGCATCTGGGCAGAGGCTTCCGGGACGCAGGGGAAGCCTCGAGCATTGCCCGCAGGTACGGACCCTGGTTCAAGGGCAAGGACGGGAGCGAGAGGGCCAAGCTGGGTGACTACGGTGGAGCCTGGAGCCGAGCCCTCAAGGGAAGGATCGTCCGGGAGAAGGAGGAGGAGCGAGGTAAGAGGGTCCGAAAGGGAAGGTGGCCAAGGGGAAGGGAGGGGGTGAGAATAATAACAGTAACAGCCACCAGGTTTCAGTGTTGAATAGGATCTCACCTGCCATATAGTCACAGCTCTAGACATGCCAGGGGGTCGCTATCATCCCCATTTCAGAGGAGAAATGTGAAGCCCAGAGAGAGTATATAGCTTGCCCAAGGTCACACAGCTTGTAAGCAGCCATGCATGGACTTGAACCCTACATCTGTCAAAGTTCAAAGTCTGACATTTCCTTGTAGCCTTTTTTAGTCTTGTTAAATAAACACACTTGAAAATTAAAACCGCATCTACTGAGCACTTACGATGTGTCAGGTACTTAAGCACTTTAAGTGTATTGAACTGTTACCACAACTCTATAGAAGGTGCTGTTATGAGCATTTTAAGGATGAGGGAACTGAGGCACCAGGAGCCCATGGTTACATAGCTAGTAAGCGGCATTCCCTGTGAGAAGGCTCAAGAACCCCGTGAGCTCTGGCCTCCGTGGCATGCCGTGGCTCTGCATTGCCACATTGCCTTTCGGTCTACCTTGCCAGATCTCTTGGTGGTGACCCTTGGAGGATATCGTTGCCGTGGACATATTTCCTTGCATTCCTTGGTCTTTCAGTCCAAAAGGGCTTTTTCTCTGTGAGCGTATTACCTTGTTTGGTTTCTACTATACCTCGGACCCAGCTAACAGATCTGGAAACTGAGGCTTGGTGAAGGGAGATACTTGCCCAAGGCTGCACAGCTGGGGAGTGGCAGCCTCTGGTCTGAATGGAGACAGACCCTGCCCCTTTCCCCCCCCCCCCGCCCCGTCCCACGGTCTCCCAGAGCCTACTCATGTCCGCCCCTCTGACCAGCATGTGGGGGGAGGAGCCCACAACCCTGAAGCTCTTCAGATGAACACACATGCACGTTTGGGGAATCCAGGCCAGATGGTTTGAGGGGATCCGGCACCAATCAGGACAGAAGGAAAACCTCCCCAGCCTTTGTGTTCCCTGCCGCATATCACACTTTAGCTGTGATTCAGCTCATGGAAAACCCCTTCTTCCGCCGTGGAGGAAGCAGGATTAGTGGCGGGGACTCACACCGGGGAGCACGTTCCCCAGCTTCAGTCCCACCCTATACTGGGCTTAGTATAGCCATCCAGGGGACCCCACCTTCCCACGCTCAGGAATTTCCTAGAATTCTGCCTCTGTAAGAACCCAGCATTCACAGGGAGGTGGAAGAGAATGTGGGACATGACAGAACAGATTGGGGATTTGGATTTGGATTCCAGTGCTGTCCCAACCAGCCGTGTGGCCCAGGCAAATGGTTTTACCTTCTCACGCCTCAGTTTTGTCATTTGTAAAATGGGGATAATGACCCCTCCCCTCTGGGCTTCTCCTGAGACCTCACTGGGACAGTGGTTAGGAAAGTACCTGGCATGGTGCTTGGCACATTGTTAGGTCTTAGAGGTGATCAGGAAGTCCTCATGGATGTGCTGGCGGAAGGGACCCCAGCTTCTAGGCACAGGTGAGGTTGTGAAGTGGCTTCTCTTCTCCACCCAGCTGTATCTCTCCCTAGTCACTCCCAAACCCTAGAAGTTTGTAGACCCCGAATCTGTCACAAGCCTGCACCTTAAGACATGCTCTTACCCCACCTAGGATAAATTACAGAGCCCCCTATTATGGCCACCTCTCCAACGTCATCTTGTAGCACTCGCCCCACACCTGCCCCACTGTCCTTCTTGCCACTCACTGAATGTGCCAAGCCTGTTCCTACCATAGCGTCTTTGTTTAACCAGTTCCTTCTATCTCTGGGATGCTCTTCCTCCATATCCTTGCATGGCTCCCTTCCTCCCTTCCTTTGGGTCCCCAGTCAAACCTTGCCTTCTCAGAGGCCTTCCTAACTAAACAGTCCTACTTTGTACCTGGTCACAACCATATTTCCTGGTTTATTTTTGTCACAGCGCTTACCACCATCCAAAAGCGTCTTGTTTATGTGTTTCTTCCTTGTTTGTAGTCGGCCTCCCCTACTGGACTGTCAGTTCCATGAGGGCAGAAATGTTGCCCGTCCTATTCCCCCACCACCCACTCTCTTCGTTCAGCACCTGGGACAGCACCTGGCCCAGAGCCAGGGCTCAATACCTACTTGCAGAATGAAGGAATGATCGGATGGACACATCCCTCTGTCTGGAGTGCCTCCAAGGGTCAGCTCCACTCTTCCTTCAGCTCTCAGCTTAGCTCGCCTCCAGGAAATTGTCCCTGACGCCCCCCTGGGTATGGTCCCTATCAGGCCCCTTAGGTGAATGGTGATCACCTGTGCTTGTTGAGGACTCCCGATAGAATGGGAGTTCCTTGTGATACACTGATACCAACAACATTCACAACACTTCCCATTTGTTGTGAAAATGAACTATCAATGCCCCTTCTATTAGAAATAACTGCCATTTCTCGAACACCTACTTTACACCAGCCTCCGTGCTGTTTACTCTTCACGTATTTGAAGGGAAAGGATACTTGTAAAATGGTATCACATCTCCTGGTTCATAATAATAGGTCACTTAATAGTAGATGTTACTATCAGTAGTAGTAATAATGGCTACTATCTATTGAGGGATTATTATGGGCTAGACCATATTGTAAGAGCTTCATTGCCTTAATTACCACACCAACCCAGAAAGTTAGACACTTGCTATTCTCTTTCACAAATGGGAAAATTTTAAACTCAGAAATGCAGGTTACATGGGTAGAAGTGAGGAACTAAAACCTGAAACAAGATTCATTTAATTCCAAAGCTTGCAAGCCTTCTCCTATACCATGCTAACCTCTCTGCCCCTGGAAATCTTATGTATTTTTATAAAGTGTAAAGAGAGAAGCAAGAGAAAATAAGAAAAAGGCCCGGAGCCCAGAGCTCACGGCAGGCAGCCTTTGGAATCAGCTGGTGTTATTAAGAAAACACAAATCCAGCCTGTCCTTGATTAACTTATTCAGAGTTCAGCGAGGAAAGACAACATATTAGATTAACGCCAATAAAAATGAGACGCTTCTCTGACCTGACGCTGAGCACATTTGGTTTTTCTCTGAAGCTGGCAAGGGCTCTGCTTGATGTGGTGATGCAGGACTTGAGCTGCAAACGATTCAGAGCCCATCACGGGGCCAAGAGGGGCGGGAGGAGCTGCTTCTGGGCTGGGCTGGGCTGGGACTGGGTGGGAAGCCTGACTTCGGGGTGGACTGGCATCTATGATATGCCACGCACCTTGCTGCGTCCTTGACCTCCCCCGGCATTGGGAGAGCCTGTGCTTTGAGCAGAGTGTACCTTCCAATGTTGCAGCATGCTGACTGTGCAGCTTTGGGCAGGTCACTTCACCTCTCTGAGCTTCTGTTTCTTTTTGGGGATAAGAAGTACATAAGAATAGATGGCTGCTGTGATGATTCTGTAAGATAAATCAATTGTGTGCCAAATGCCAGGCACTCTCCCAAGTACTTTGCATGTCTTATATCATATAATCTTCGTAGCAACCCAGTGAGGTCACTGTTATTACCTCCATCTTACAGGGGGGAAACTGAGGCACAGAGAGGTGAAGTAACTTGCCCTAGGTTGTTCAGCTGGAGGAGGGGGTAAACTGAACCCTGGAGGTATTTGAACCCTGGTGGTTTGAGTCTTACACCTGAACCTTAACCATACCACCTCACTTCACAGGGCGCAGGAAGCGCTCAGCTCAGAGGCTGGCACACAGTAAGCACTTAATACGTGCCAGCTATTATTATCAATATTGTAATTCTGCAGAAGAAGATGCAGAAGCATAGGGGCGATGTGACTTGCCCGAGGTGATACAGCTAGTCACAGGCAGAGCCAGAGGCCAAATCCAGTTTGATTTTAAAGTCTGAACATGAAGAGGGACATGGGGGAGAATCTGTCCATGTTCTTGGAAGAAACAATGGGGCTCCTCATCTCCTACAGCTGAAGATGCTGTCGCTGCAGGTTGTTGGGGGTCTGGTCTATGTCAGAGACTATGCATCCAGACCCTCAGCCTCACATCAAGTAGGAATTTGAGCCCCTTTCACAGATGAAAGCTCAGAGAGGTTAAGCGACTCTCTTAGTGTCACACAGGTAAGAGGCAGAGTGGACTCCAATCCAATTTTGTCTGAGTCTAAAGCTCTTATCCTTAAAAAAAATTTTTTTAATCTTTATTTTTGAGAGAGACAGAGCACAAGTGGGAGAGGGACAGAGAGAGAGGGAGACACAGAATCCGAAGCAGCTCCAGGCCCTGAGCTGTCAGCACAGAGCCCCAAGCAGGCCTCGAACTCATTAACCACGAGTTCATGACCTGAGCTGAAGTCAGATGCTTAACTAACTGAACCACCCAGGCGCCCCAAACACTTTTATTCTTAACCACTGAGCTATATGGTCCCTAACTCACTCCATCAGTCCATCCATCCACCCCATATTTATCACACATCTGCTATGTGCCCTGCCCAGTGCTAGGAGGTGGAGACACAGGAATGATTCAACACAGCTTTCCCCTCTAAGGAACATTCAGAGCCCCTGGGGGAACACAGGCAAGTTAAACAGTAAATTATAAGTTCAAAACATATTTTTTCCTAATTATTGAAATCATATACGTTCATTGTAGAAAAGTGAAAATGTATAGAAAGAGATGAAAATAAAAATGGCCCAGAGCCGCCTCTACCAGCAGCCACAGTCAACACTGTTGGTGTCTTACCTTCCTGTCTCTCTTTTTAATATTTATTTATTTTTGAGAGAGAGAGAGAGAGAGAGAGAGCGCATGCAAGCACAAGTGAGTGGGGGAGGGGCCAAGAGAGGGGGAGACACAGAATCCGAAGCAGGTTCCAGGCTCTGTGCTGACAGCAGGGCTCAAACCCACAAACCACAAGATCATGACCTGAGCTAAAGTGGGATGCTTATCCAACTGAGTCACCCAGGCACCCCTGTCTCTTTCTTTCATGAGCATATTTCCGAAGCACATAGTTTATTTAT